GCACAAAAAGAGAGAGAGAGAAAAGTGACATTGCGCTGCAAACACATACAACAACACTCTTTCTTTCTATAGACATATATCTGTAAGAAGTGTCTAATGATCAGGATGATGATAGAAAGATCAATCTTGTATATCCATTGACCCACTTAACTTTTTTTTCATTATTTTCTTTTAATAAATCCAATACTTATTTTATTATCATGAAAATTAGTCAAGGTATGTTTCTTTTCTTCTTTTTAATAACTATAAAATCGTATTCATTCAAAATAATCCTTTTATTCCCGTAGAAAAACTATGTTTATAGCAACGTTTCTAGTTTTTTTCTCCTATCTCTACAACAAAATATAAAATATATATTTTTGACAGTTGCTCTACTTATGAATCATTGCTGAATGCATCGAGTAAAAAAGAAATACATTAAAAAAGAATAACAAGAAGAAAATTGAGTATACAACGACTATCACCAATCAATATTTTCTAAGATCAATAAACAATTGTGCGAGAGAGAGAGAAGGTGGCCATATCAAAAAAAAAGAAGGTCAAAATAACAACAAAACATTATATAGATGATTCAGATAAAAAAAAGAAAGCAAAGATATTTACTTTAAAAACAAAAATTTCGAATTCTATTATTTTATCAAGATAAAATTGTTAGTCTATCATATTATTTTAGATATTATAATATAGATAAGCGTTGGTAATGCACGCCTGAAATTTTTCTCAAACCTTTGCTTTTATGTGAATAGGTGAGCAAAGTTTCAGGTGTATTGATCCAACACATATTCTTCATATATCAAATACATAATCAACTTATTGAAGTAAGTGTGTCTTTCCTAGCACCTGTTTATACATGAAGACAAATAATAGCAATATAGCAGTACCACTTGAACAAATATGCGTGTCAATTAACATATCTCTACATTGAAGAGAAAAAAGACAAAAAAAGGCTAGATATTGATTCATTCTCCATATGATTACTAACAACGTTATATATCTATCTATCAAGATATATACGTACACATCTGTACTTGTTCTAGAAGATCTTCTCCCTTCGAGCAAGGACTAACTAAAATGGTAAAGAGAAAGAAAGAAAGAAAAAAAAACATACTATAACAAACCTTGATTAGAATATCTACAGATGACGATGCGACAAATCTCTTCAATTATAAACAAAATGAATAAATAATCTCATCAGACAACACTTGAGACATCGTTCTCTGTCATCTCATTGTTTTATCTTTTAAGACATAATCAATTGAATAATAAATGTTCAAATAAAATATATGTCACTAGTACGAATATATATATTCTATTCAATGTGAACGATGTATTTAATTTCTTGAGATAGAATTTATCCTGATAATATATATAGGAGGATTAATATCTACTATCATTCTCCTATCTTTATTAATTATTGCATTGGAATCGGATGTGTTCTTCTTCTTCTTCTTCTCTCTTGCTCTAATTTGATTAAAGATAAGTAGATCCACTTGTGTGTGTGTGTGTGTTGTGCTTTACTATACCATGGCAGTGATTAGCTTGTTAGGTTCGTTGCGGGTTATTGTAAAAAAAAAGGAAGCATAAATGAATAACAATAATTTCCTTAATTGGTTACTATTTTATTTAAATGTTATTCATCTTTATCGATAAAAATAAGAATAATTTCAACAGTTTAACGATAGAATTATTTTAATATAAAAATTTTTGTTATTAGTTAGCAAGAATTGTATGTAATAAATAGATTGACAATACTGTCGTAATATGTTATCTAAACATATTGTCATATTAAAAAAAGGAAAGTAAGACAAGCTGTTCTAACAAGGTTTATTTCATTGTATGATAGCCTTCAAATGAGTATATATATACACATAGACATATTAATAAAATCTTCTTAGACATATATATCATATATTATTCAATGAACTATTTTCATTTAAAATACTTTGATTATTATTTCTTTTTTTAGAAAATGAAAACGAAGTCAAATCATCTTTGTATAATTTGTCGTTATGTTTTTTCTTTCTCGGTTTATTATAATCGAAAGCATTCTTTACAATCATCATCATCATCATCCGAATATGGCCAATATTGACGCTTTGCTTTTATATATTTTCTCTTTTTTTTAGACGTCAATCTCTTTCGCTCTTTAGATTTTATTTGAATAGAAAAAAAATGACAAGAGACAGAGAGAGAGAGATATTTGTCTACTTTTAATTATACGACGACAAGCAGAGAAAGAAATGTCAACAAAGCAAGTCTCATATTCTTTCTCCTTTTTTTTGATGGTGCCTACCTAATAAATATGCTCAATCGATTCAATAGTGAATGTGTGAAATTACAATGGTAAAGAAAATGAATGTCCAATAGTTTATAGTTAATACTAATGAAGAAGAAAACAAAACAATGTTGAACTTATAGATTTATTCATTAATAAAAAAATTGATTTATTAGAGACGAAAAAAAAAGTAATTGACAACATCTGTTTTTGTTTGCACATTGTCGAACTTTCTTTTTTTTTTGAACAGATGTTTTATTTGATATGTAAAAAAAAGAAACGATATTTTTTTTCAAAAAAATTGAATATTTTTTAATGAACAAACGCTTTTGACATTCACTCCAAATAATTTATCTGTATCAACAATGGATCAGTTAGTCGATTGAGCCATAGAAAAATTATTTCTATACTTTTCATTAGCCACATTCATTTAAATAATAAAAAACTAAGTTTTAAGCTTTATCCAAACCAACAATTTTATATTGAACACCATTGATAAGTACGATAGATCCATCAAGATTATTTACATCAAGTTCATTATTTGATGTAGATTTATCTTCAATAGTATTGATAGTTAAAACCGGTTTCGATAGACTTTCTACGGATGGTTGAATTGATGGCATTGGTATTTCTGGTGTCGTTGATTTTGGCTCTGGTCCTATCATTTGATCTATATCAACACCAGTATGTTGTTTGAATAGAATTTGTAATTGTTCATATTCTTGTCTGATTATTTGTAAATTTTGTACTAATTTTTGATTATCTTCTTCGAGTTGATTTATTGAATTAATTGTTTCTTCACGTTCACGACGAGCTCTATCACGTGATTTTTTAACACTCGAATTATTTTGAGCACGTAATTGTTTATAACGCGGATCAACGCGTGAAACTATACGACGTTGCATAATTATAAAATAATAAAATATCTTCCCAACTTTAGCTTTGACATTTCAAATGTGGATGATGACATATCGAATATCATTGGTTTGCGATGACGTATATTTAACGAATTAAAATTATGTTTTAATTCTCTTTAATAACTAAAGGAAATTATAATGAGAAGTTAATTCATTATCGAAAATTATGTTGATTAAAGTTGGCTCTAATTAAAAAAAAGTCGTTTTCATGGCCTAGTGACATCTTTCGGACATACAGGAAAAATGCGAGTCAACGTTATTTTCAGTAATAATTACTAAATTTCCCTCTGCTTATACGAAAATAACGATAACTTAATTAATCAATTTGATATACACGTAGAAATAATATATGTATTGAAGATTATTAGCATAGTTGCCAGCAATACATAACACTAAAGCAGTGGCGGATCTAGCTATTCGGCAACGCTACTCCCTCGAAAACAGATGCTTCGACAAATACTGAAAACAGGTAGAACACTATAGGTTTCTCTCGTAAAAAATAATACTACTTTCCACTTTTTTTATAAACCGCCACCCCCTTTTGGAACTCCTGGATCGCACTTTAACACTTATCGCTAATTATCTTAATCTTATTTCGATTGGATAGAATATATTATATATTATTCAATTTAATTGATATAACTTACGTTTACTATAATCAACAACAAATTTTTCCATAAGTTGTCTTATTTCGATTAAATTTAACAAAATGTTTTCCTTGACAAGCTTAATTCTTTTCATTTATGGACTTCAAAACCATCTTAAAGCTTTAAATATTTTATTTCATTTTTTCTTATGCTAATGAAAGCATCAGTAGTTGATACGATATATTTAATGTAGTATATAGAAATCTAGTTCTGTTGTTATTAATATTTACAACAACAAAAAGGTGTATGTATCGATATTTTCTTTCTTTCTGTTTATTCATGTACAATAAATAAGTAAATAGAGAGAAAAAAAGGAAGTAAATCATTTCGATATACAAATGCCTTCAAGTGAGATATAGAATTTATTTATATACAGTTATTGAAATTATACCAAATGATCGTACTGATTTTCGGTTAAAAATTTTACGAACATTCTTATAAATCATTTGATTCTAATACACAACTTTACTTACCATTTGAACAATCTCTTCACGAATGGCTTGAAAATACATTCGATAAAGTTGAAAATAATCTTTATAATGACGATAATCAAATAAATCGAATATGGCATTGTTATGCAATGAAATCTTATGAGACATCAATTGACGACTCTATAGCTTTTATCATAATCAAAGATGAAAAAGAATTCAATACAATGTATTTCGCTCAATATGCAGTTACACTCGATAGTGATTGAACTTTTACAATATGTTCGAACTCAATTTCCTAATCAATGAATGGTAGGTGTTGTTCGTCGAATTAATCAAGATGCCCAGTATGGTGCAAGAATAATTGAAAACGATGAAACAATTGCTATTCGTCATGGTTATGATCCAAAAGATTACATTGCTTTTCAATACTATTAACTCTATCTTTATAATATATTTAAGAAAGAAAACAAAATTCGAAATAAAACATGTTTTATATAATAGAGAAAATGAATAATTATTAATTCGATCATAACCTATTGATTTAAAGTAGCACGGGTATAGTAAAACATTTCTTTTCTATTACAAAAATATTTTTTTGTAAGATTTCATCAGCAGATAGCTTTTAATACTTCTCAATGATATAGATAATAAGAATTAAATTTAATCAATAAATAAAAAAATAATTAATTATTATTGTGATATTATAGTTGCATAAAAATGTGTTTTTTCTCTAAGAAGAATAAGATGATTTAACATCAAAATCAAAATATGTATTAGGAAATGGTTCATTTTTAAGTGTATAATGCCACCATTCTTTAGTATAATTAACAAAACCAGCTTGTTCCATGAAGCTCTTAAACATCATTCTCATTTTTTGATGATTATCATCAACAAGTTTACTCTCTGTATGTGATGCTTCATCAAGTAAATCAAATGAAGAACCCATATCAACAGTTCCATCATCTAAAAATAAAATTGTCGAATTATCAGTAAGAATTCTTTTTATTGGTACTACAGAATTTGATACACGTTTTCCAATTGGAATTATAGTTAAATCAATTGTACTTCCTCGTGTATGACCAGATTTTTTCGCAATATATCCAAGATTAAATGCATTTTCTTTATTAATTCGTGGATAATAATGATCTTTTTTCGATTGAGGATCATTTGGATCTTCACTCCATTTAATAAAATGATTAACACTTTTTTGTGGACGATAACTATCATAAATAACTAATTCATAACCATTTTCTTTTGCTAATTCTTGTACTCATTTTAATGCATGTGCAGCTGCTTCTGTCATAATCGATACATTTGAATAATAACCATTAACAATACATCCTAGAAAATTTTCTTCAGTACCATAACGTAAGCTTACTTGAATATTCGGTATAATATCATGTACATAAACAAAACCTGTTGGTAAAGTTTCAGAAGTAGAAGACATGATACGAAGAAAACAAAAATAAACTATTTTTTTATGCTTTATGATGCTTTTGTATGTCACCTCTTGCTTGATTTAAAGATTAGCTTGCAGGTAAATTTGTTTTCTTTTACGTTCTGTATTCTTTTTCTCTTGAATATTAGTTAATATTGTGGTTATATGACGATATGAATAAAGGTTAAGATACATTTTCGTTTAATAATTATCAATAAAGAACATTTATGAAGCGGATAAAAACCGGTGAAAATTATGGATGAAAGAGTATTGGAGATGCCTGTATTTACCGATGACTTATACTTTGTTTATTGAATTAAAGCAAAATACGAATAGTGAAAAATTCATTATATTACAGTGAAAGAATAAATTACATTGAAAGATTTTGTCATAAAGTCGATCTATATATTGAGTTTTATTATCTTACATCTTAAATTTTATAATTCTATGAGAAGATGAAATTTTTTCTTGACATTCAAAAAATAGTATAGAAGATAGAGAATAACATTGCGCACAAATTGGATTTCAGAAATTGATTTCGATATTTTTTTCTGTTTTGGTTTCAATTACATTTTAGAGTTTTATGGAAAATATGATTAGTATAATCGATTCAATAATCATAACATTTTTATTCGGATATACTATATGAAATAAATTAACTGAAGCTCTTAGTAAACTTGTACTGATCAAAAACTGGAATAAGGATTCTTACTGTTTTACTCTATTCTCATCTATGATATAACTGATAGTTATTGTTGAATCAAGTTCTAAACTAGTATAACGGCTGAGAACAGTATTTGAATATAATATTAGCGTTCCCTTGACTTAGGGGAATTCTATTGACTTGTTCATTGGGTAAAACAGTTTTCTCTTTCTACTTATAAATAAATAAATTTCAAGGCATTCAAAATGCCAACATGACTTTTGCATTGTTATGATCATCTGTTCGCCTGATTTAAGTGCAATACATAGACAAATGAATTCATTTTCTTTAGTACTCAGAGTAAAATAGAATAATATATATTTAATACGGTGCAAAGGAATGCATTCATGTGATCCTAGGCGAGTTTTCTTTTTTTCTCGACGCACGCATGAAAAATTAGAAAATAATGGTTAAAGTGTAGGATGGAAAACATTAACATCTATTTTTCAATCTTTATTTGTTATTGAAATTTTATGGTTATATGCCATATGGTGGCTATATTAGGCATTTTTTGTAAAATTTATCTAACCGTCCATTTTATAACTTATAATTATTGACTATAAATAGATATTAGAAAAAAAATGTCAATTCCTTATTTGAAGAAAAATATAAAAAAATTAGTGCTTAATTTTCCACCCCTATGACAAAAATTTGGTCAATCTCATTAACATTCTTAATCAACAGTTCTTCACTATCATTAAAAATATATATTTAAACAAGCATACATATGATTATTAGTTCTGCTACAGAAGTAACTCGGTAAAAACCACATCCATCCAAGCATTATGATCATTAGAATATCTTAACATCTATTTTCATTCAATATTCATTTTTACGAATTCTCATTTCGACTCGCGTTTGTCGTTTAGTTATCAATAGACTTTCCTTTTATATATATTTTTTTTTTTTCGTATTCTAATATAAATAGAAAAAACTTCTATTGACTATCCAGTAGACTGAATACACTATTTTCTTCCATGAATAAATAAAATTAATTTGCTTAAAAACAATTATTGTACTAATAATTTTTTCCTATTTAAATCATCTGTGTTCTTCGGAAAGTCATATATAAAACGTACTTTTACCGCTGATATCTACATATGTTATTTAACGTACCTTTCTTTTTAATAGAAAATGAAAATTCTATATTAAATTATTTAAACCGGGGTTCTTTCACGTTTTATTGTCCTTTTTTTCAAATATATAGACACAGTACGAAAGAAAACAACAAATCATCTACAGATAAATTTTCACAACAACAATAGTAGTTCGTTTGGTTTTTCTATTGCTTGATTAAAGTATGCCACATTGAAAATGAATGACGTTGTTTAAATTGTTGCCAATGTATTGTTCCACTACCTGAACAAATATAAGGTGAACCAAGTTTAATTCGACCTATATAATGATGTTCATTAGTATCATTGATATTCGAATAGAAATCAATTCTAATCATAAGACGATCGAGATGATTTGAATTAAATGATAATATATTAAAATGACGTGATTCTTGAAGAGAAAATGTTGAAGAATTTAATCGATAAAATTTTGTTTCATGTGTTGTCAATGGGCGATGACGATCCAGAAGAATTATTCGAAAAAAACATGTTGCATCTAAAATATTTCTTTATTATTATAAAATAAAAACAATAGATTAAATAACTAACTTGGATTTTTTTGATTATATTTTAATCCTTTGATACGTTTTAAATCAATAATTAAATTATGATCATTTAATTTTTCAATTGAAACAAGAATTTCTATTGATGACTAGAAATAGAAAAAAAGTTAAATTTCACAAATTTCTTCTTGTTTTTTTGTTACCATTTTTATATTTTCAATTTCATGGATGAAATCCATTTGATTTTTATTTTCAATATTTTCTATTTGATTAAAATAAATTTTACCAATTTGACCAAGTTGAATTGTTTTTTTTTCTTGATTTTTTCCATAAAATTTTATTACTAAAGTTTTTTCAGCAAGTTTTGCTAATGGAATATGTGAAAATTGTATAAAATATTCCGTATTTTCTTCAGCAAATATATTTTGATCTGGAAGAATTTTTTTTACGGATAATTCTTTTGCTTTACCATCAGGATTTAATTTCAGCTTAATTGTTAATTGTTTTATTGTTGATAATAATGATGTTAAAGAATGAAATTGTATTTTAATTTGTGATGATTCTAAATAAATGATTGAAAATGATACAAGACATGGTAAAATTTGATTTGATGATTGAATGGTTTTTATTATTGAATCAATTGTACTTTGTTTTGTTTCGATGATATTATTACAAACTGCAACAGATCGACGTCGATATTTTTCAGCTGTTAATGGAACTTCAAATTGAATTTGTGCAATTTGTTTTGAATCAATAATTGAACTTCGTCTTCTATGAGGATATTTTACAACAGATAAATTATTTGCTAAACTATATGAACGTGTTTGATTTGGTTTAGTAAGATTTGAATCATGATGGATTGAAAAGCTTGAACGATATGTAGATAATCTTCTTGTTATAATATTCATTGATGGTTGAATTACATATTTTATTCTTCGTTTTCCATAAGCAAATGGTGATGATGATGATTTGAAATTTTCTCGAGAATAAATTAAGACATAAATAAATAATGATGATAAAAGAAATACAGTAATTATAATTAAAGTTAAAACTAATGGAATCATATTTTCTTTATTTAATTAAAACAAAAAACAAGGTAAATGATATCTAAAATAATTACTCGACGTAAATTTTTGTTTTTTATGATAAAAAGAAATCTTCTAATAATAAAAAAACACATATAGTTGCCAGGTGAAAGTTTTGCATTTTCTACCTACCATTTATTACAGCTTTTAATATTGACATATCCTTAAAAACTGAGCCTAAGAAAAATTAAATTCATAATGTTTACTCTGTAAATAAAAATCTGAAGGTTAAATACAAACAACTAAAAGAATGACTCTAAATGTCCAATAAGACAATATATTTAGTTCAAAGCTATATAAAATAACTGTAAATTCATCTATTTTCTGCATGGATTCTTCATTACTTCTGTTCTCTATCATTGTTCTCTATTAGTTTCATCTGTATTTCGTCAATTTCTATTCTATCAACAGTCTCTACTCATTAGTATAGGCAATTTTCAAATAAATGAATATAAATACATGTATTTGTCGTTCATAAATGAATATAGAGTTAAATATAAAAAGAAATCTAAAGACGTAGTAGGAGGAAGAAAGAAATTAAGCAGAAGTTGACTTATTTTTTCAAGTAGAAACAAACAGCTGGTTGGCTTACACTTTCTCAACATATGATAATATTTGTCGAATGTAATTAGAGAAGAAAACTATGATTTATAATTTTTATGCTTTATTATCACACTTTCCGGTATTGTTCATGTTTTCAAATAAATCTTTTATTTTAAAAAGAAATTTTTGAAGAATAATATTTAAAAAGGATTACTAGAAAAACAAATGTAATTCTCAAAATAATAAAAATGATAATCAAAGAAAAGATTAGAGGAGAAAAAGTTCAGCCATTTATAAGTCGATATATAATGCAAAGAAATATTTCGTGACTATAATTATATCTTATTTTCTTTGCTTGAACTATTACTTTATAGAAGAGAGAAAAAAAAGATTATTCGAATACATATACAGTAGATACAAAAAAAGAACTATGATAACAGAGAAGAAGAATTTTTGTTTCTTAATGACATGATACGATAAGCAATTCTGACGTCAGAAGAAAAAAATATACGATATGCTTTTATACCAAATCGAATTTAATTATAAAGATGACAAGTAGAATAAAAGGAAAACAGCTCGTATCTTCTTATTTTCATCATTGATAAGACCTACCAAATTACAGACGTATATATATAGATAGATAGACAGTGGGAAAATTAATATTAACAGGTAATCTATCAATATTAAGATAATAATTTGTATCGATTATGAACGTTACTGTTAAAATTAAAACAGACTTTGCTTATTAATTTATATATTTTAAGAAAAATAAAAGGATCTATAAATATACAAAAATAATATTATTGTTATTCATTGAAATTGCGTTTGTTTTTTCCACCAGTAAAAGTATATCCATATCTTCTAAACTCATCGGGTTCGAAGGTTTTTTCCTTGTACATACTGATATATATATATGTCAAAAGTTATTAATATATATATAATTAATTCGATCATTTGATATTGCAAAGATAATGATTTACTTTAACGAAAAAAAAAGATTCTTTATACTATTAAATCGAATCAATGATTTTAATAAAAATAAAGCTATATTGTCTATTGTTTACTTCTCTTCGCTTCAGTTATTATTTATAAATTCAATTTGTTTTTGATTATTTTATCGAATTTCTCATACTTACAAATAGTTAATTTGATGTTCGACTAATTTTGAATATATATATATTGTTCTTTTAAATTTAATATTCGTTGATGCTTCAATTATTTCGAACAAAAAAGAAAATTATCGAGTGCATGATCATTACCCTACTTTTCGATAACGAATAACAATAAATTTTTATAATTAAGCAGAGAAATTTAAAAAAAATCTTTGTGGTTAAAATAAGAACGCAATATTTCGATATAACAAGTACAATCACGATGATAATCTTTGGAATCGATATATGAGAAAAAACAAGACGCAATACCAGTCAATAGATAATTTCAAACAATCAGAACCAGTGTTCTTGAGTCAAGGATACACGCGTTATATGAATGACACATGCAAAATCACTATCTAGGTGTTTGGTGTATGTGGAGGTACAATCGTATTTCGCCTCCACATTTGGACTCTAATCGCTACGTTTATGTATGACGTATTATTAAAAAAACCTATATATATATGTATACTATTGGATGTTTTCTTTTCTTTTTTTCGTTCTTACGATAGCAACGATGACTACGTATCGATATAATAAAACATTAAGCAAACGAAATATGTGGATAGGCGAAACGCTTTTTCTTTATTATCGTATATTTTTTTATTACTTATACTCTGGAAAAGGTATTGATGCATATCGAACAAGTGGAATTGATCGGCGTGTATTAATCCATATATATTCACTTGTTTTAACAATTCGTCTTTTTTCTTTTCGACATTATCGAGCAAAATCTTATGGTGAAGATTTACGTGCTAATTTACGTAATGTTATTGTACCATTTACTATTATTCCACTTTCAATATTTTGTTTCAATAAATTTATTTGTTTATTTTTTTTAATATTTATTTATCCATTATGGGCATTAATTGGTTCAATTTATTTATCAATATATGATACAAAAAATTCTCAAACTATAAATCAATATTTTTATGAACAATTATTAAAACCAAATTATTGGTTTGCAACATGGCGTATGAATTGTACAATTGTTGCTTATCATTCATATAAAAAATGGGAACAAACTAAACAACAATATTCGATGGAAGATAAAGGACGATTTTTAATTGAAGGAAAAAAATTAAATATACCAGTAACACCTATATTAGAAATACCTCGGATTATGATTAAACATAAATCAATTGAAGGTGGAATGGGAATAAATGTTTATGATAATTTTGCTATGTAAGTTAAAATTAACTTTTTTTTTGTTTTCTAAACATAATCTCTTATTTTTTATTAGAAATGATGGTGACTGGATTATTCAAAAAGTATTTTCAAATAGTGATTTTATTCAAAATCTTGTCACATCTAATGCACCACTTTCAACTGTTCGTATAATAACTTCACGTGATTCGACATCATCAGTAATTAAAGTAAAAACAATGGTTTTTCGTGCTGGTCGTTTTCAACAAAAAACTGATCATAATGCAATTTTTTATAATATTGATTTTAATTCTTCACATTGTTTATCAAGTGGAACAACGAATCGTCATTGGTATCAAAGTGGTTTAAAATCATTTGATACAAAAAGTATGTGGCAAGGACAAAATTATTCTATTCATCCTGATTCTTATCAACAACTTGAAGGTATTAAATGGCCGAATGTTAATGAAATGATTCAATGTGTTTCTCATGCACATGAAATCTTATGTCCTGATATACCTATTATTGGTTGGGATGTTGCATGGACAAATGAAAATAATCAATTGATGTTACTTGAATTAAATATTTCATGTAATTTTTTTAATGGACATTTTGATACAAAAGACTATACAAATTTTTGTTATGATTGGTTTCATACACTTGATATTTAAATAAAAATTACAAGATCAAAGAATTTTTTTTTATGTAAAATAAATTTTTTAAATCAATTAAAGTAAAGTAAATTGACTTGAAAAAAATAGTTATATTTATTTGGTCAATGGCTTTCTTTTCTTCACTACATTATTCGTAAGATTTTTAATCCCATTCCACGCGATGCTCTGTGATGTTCATAAACGAATGAGATGTAATTAATATAGTAGATCTAAAATGCCTGAAATATTCTTTTTAAAATTTTACAGTTACAGTCGACAGATGTCTCTTGTTTCTTTTAACTCTGAAATAAAATGGAGTCAAACATAAAAGAAAAATGAAATTATTTTATTATTCAGTAAAACTAAAACTCTCATATAAATGAAAGTATCAGTTAATCGTTTATTGAAAACACGGAATTGTTCGTTAATTAATTTTTCTCGATTATTTTCAAGTGGACAAGATAAAAAAATTCAAGGAATACGAGATAATTTTAGTGAATATGAAGTTCGTTTACATTTTGATAAATGGTTAAAATCTTTATGGTAAATTCGAAGTTTTAAAATATTAATTAAATATTTTCTTTTTGTCAAAGAGAGGTTGGCGCCTAATCAATGGGTAAATTCAACAAGAGATGGTTCAATTCGAGTTACTCGATGTTTTATACCATTTTGGAGTATTAATTTTCAAGGAGATATTCAATGTACTCTTAGTACAAAAGCAAACTTTCCTTTTAGAGTAAAAATATATTTAATATATCTATTAAAATTATTTAATTTTGTTTTTTATACTAGCATGATGAAAATTATTATTCACAAAAAGAATGGCATACATTTCCTTTACAAATGAATAATATTTCTTTAAATAATATTAATATTTATGCAGCTAACAATTTAGATAAATATCATATACAAAAATTAGATGTATCTTTTGACGATGTTGAACCTATTGATTTAACTGACAAAGATTATATTATTGAAAAATGTACTATTGATCAAGATACAGCATTCAAAAATGCGTGGATTCTTATTATGAAACCTTTATTAGAAAATATGTGTCTTGAAGAAGCAAAAAAGGTATTAATTCAGTAATATAAAATATCAATAAGTATCATAGAGAAATAATAGATATCAGAATAAGAAAATTTGATTATATCAAAGCATCTACCAATAAATCCACTCAGAGTTGCACTTTGAATAAAACATTTGTATTTTCTTTCTCGTAGAGAAGAGTCTTGCAAGAATAAATTATTTGCTTGTGTCCGCACTTCATTGATTGATCCAAAAATTCGGTAAAGATATAAAAGGAATTTTTCTATAAGGGTAACCGAGGTCGAGGAACACGAATCTGACGTTAGTTTTTTAGGATTTTTTTGTAGGCAACGAGCAATCTCTTAAAGAAAGTCTTTAGCTCTATTAGGAATACCGTTTCCACGGGTGTTATTTGTAGATAATTCGTTCGTCGTATTTCAAAATTGAAGAGAAAAGTAGTTAGTTAAAAATGATCCTATTCATTTCTATTTCTATTCATCTATCAATTAGATTTATCCAAAATTTGAAGAACCTCGAATTGATTCATTTCATTTAATAATGAATTCAAAACAAGAACGTCTTTTATATTATCCAATATATATAATTAATTATAAATATGATTCTCAATTAATTTATACATGTTTATTTGATGGTGTAACTGGTCATATAACTGGTGATAGACAATTTTCAGCAATAAAAGTTACTCTAGCATCATTAATAGCATTTTATCCAATGATTAAAATTGGACTTTTTAGTTTTGGTACACTTGTAGATTTTTTATTTGCATTTGAAATTGCATCAGAACTTAGTTTTTCTGTTGCTCTTCCGATGGCTTTCATTATTGCACCTTTGATTGGATTTTATGCACGTTCATATCCAAGATCATATAAAAAACAGATTAGTAGTGAACAATGGACTCAAGATCAATTTAAAGCATTAAAATTTACTTATGCATTTGATCAACAACAAAAGTTTGTTATATGAATTATTATTTCATTATGTTTATATTATCTTTCAGAAATCAAATATCAAATGATGATTCATCTGTTCACATAGCATCGGATGATGAGATCAAATCTATAAAAGAGCAGCATAGTGACCTAAATGATTCTGCTGATAAATTAGAAAAACGACGTATTTAAACCATATTCTATGTTTTCGCATAAGGATTAACAAAGAACATATTATGATAAACTAAAAATTTTATTTTCTATTTTTTGATGGAATGTTTCTTTTTGAAAAATAAACTAAATTGACAAATTTTTGTCATCGTTCATGATGAATATATTTTCTTTTTTCTATGTAACTAAAATGCAAGTCTGATGAATAATACAGTTGATTAGAGAAACATTCTATTTCTTACGGTTCCACCCTCAAAGAAATATGAATACATTAGAAAAACTACCTTGATGCGTCTTTATTTTGATGCTGTAATATTCTATAAAAGATTTTTGGATTTCTAAAGATTTGAAATTGCCAGCGGTCGTTTTGTAGCCAGTCATTTTCAATAAATCATTTTTGAATTCAATTTTTATTATCAAGTTTGCATAACATATTTCTAACTTCTACAATTTTGAACAATTTTCAGATTTTATCAAATCAAAAAAACAAAAAATATTTAATTATTTTCATCAAATAAAAATATTCAAATAGGATTTATTCAAATTACAGAATATTTTCTTTTTCTTCTGTAAAATTCGACACAAATTAACAAAAGATGAAGAATTTAATATTTATATATTAGAATTATTTAATCAAAATTATTAGATTAAAATTCAATTTTAAGCAGGAAAAAGTAAAAATATTTTCCTTCGCTTTTTTCTTATTAAAACAATTTTTTCCTTTTCCTCAAAATAAAAATATCATTCACAAAATTATTTCAAATTTTAGAATTCGATCATTTTCTGAATCAGCAACATAAAGATTTCCGTCATCATCAAAACATAAACCACAGGGACAATTGAACTGACTTGATTGATTTTCTTGACCATTTCCACCAACGACAATTTCACCCTCTTCTTTTCCTTCACACCAACGCATTACTCGATGATTCCCACTATCTGCCACATAGATTTGACCCAAATCATCAACAATTACTCCTTTAGGTGTAGACAATTGATTGAGACTTCTTCCTTTACCATTTCCTCCAGCCACAACTATTCCTTCTTTTGCATCTTTTCTCCATTTCATTACACGATGATTGACAGAATCTGATACATAAACAGATTGATCTTCATCAACAAAGATAAAACTAGGAAAATTAAGTTGATTAAGTCGATTTCCATTGCCATTTCCACCTGCCACTACAATTCCTTCATTGTTGTATTCACCCATTTTCCATCGTCTGACTTCATTCTTCTCATAATCAGAAACATAAAGAAATCCATGTTTATCCATTGCTAAGCCCAAACAGTCAATATTGTGAACGAGAATTTGTTGCTTTTGATTCAACCATTGAATCACTCGCCTGTTCTCATAATCAGCAATGATGATGGAATGATTTTGTTGATCAACAATCATATCCTTTGGTTGATTCAATTGATTCATTCGATTTCCTTCTCCATTTCCACCTGCAATGATTTGTCCTTGTTTTGCATTATGTTTCCATTTAACAATACAGCCATTAAAAGAATCAACAATGAAAATATTTTTCTTTTTGTCAATAAAGATTCCAAAAGGCTGACTCAGTTGATTTAATTGTTGTCCTTGTCCATTTCCGCCAGCCACAGTGATGGCATTTTGTTTCCATTTATTGGATTTTGATTCTAAAAAAGGATAACAACAAAAAATTAATATACAATGAAACGTTGATTTTGTTTTTTTGTGAAATTTGAATTCGAAATGAACTACTGCTTAAATCATTTGAAGTTTTGTATTTTGAAAATAAAAATAAATTCTTCTTTTGATAAGAATTTTAATAAAAATATGTTTCGATGTTTTTTTTGAATAAAAGCTATTAAAATAACACGAAGAGATATTTTATTTAATAAGAAAAAAGAGTTTGAAAGTATGTAAGAGTTTAATCATTGATCTTCATATCTTCTAGTCAAAACAACTTTTTCTTCTAAAGATATTTCAGTCTTGAAAAGAATTCATATAAAACAAAGAATATTACAAATATCTCAAGAAGAAAACATTATTCACAATGGATCATTTCAGAGTATTTTACTATAATGAATTAATCTATCATCTCTAAGCAAATTTTCAGATTGAAACGTAATCATACAATGCTTTTGCTGTACACATTATGTTTGAGGATAAAATATCTTGAACTTCAAAATGAAAATCTGAAAAATTCAATCTTTTGAGATTATTTTCATTCCACTAATTTCTATTGAATATACAAAATTACCACTTAATAGTAATCAAAAATATTCACTTCTAAATTATTTATTTTAATAATACTATATAATATTTATCTTCCAATAGATTTCTCTCTCACTATGAATAGAAAAACAAAAAAAATTACATTTGCTAATAACCACAAAATCCTCTATATACTATACAAAAGAAAGAATAAAAAAATTTTGCCTATTCTATTCTAACAAAAACTTTGATATAAAATCTCTAAAGTGATGAAATTCTAACAATGTGCTTTTATTAATTATTTGATTTTTCTTCAAATAATTAACAAAATTTCAAAATAATTCAGTTTTGTTTTTAATTAAATATTATTTCATATTCTACCATTCTTTTCTTTTACATACAAATGAATTGAATTTTCGATTTCTATCAGTTCTATTATTATTGATTAAATAAATAAATAAATAGTATTCTCAATTATTTTCATAGGTTGTGAGCATAAGTTTATACAAAATGAGAATTATTCTTTTAGAAAGAATTTCTTAAAAACTTACTTTTTGTTGAAATAATCGAAATGTCATTAATAAATGTTTGTGAATCTTGTTGAATAGCAATCTTTAATGGATCATTTAATTCTTCTGTAATTTTTCTTAATTGGTTTGTTAAATAATTTAAGTTAATTTCATTAAAGTCATTTTCTTTGTGAAATTGTTTTATTTGTTCTCTTAAATCATTAAATTTCATTTCAATATCATTAATAAATCTTTGTGAATATTTAATGACAGTGTCTCTACATTCTTTTGCTTTTTGTTGAATTTTTCCAATCGAATTTATTTCCCATATATTAATTTGTCTTATTAATGAATGATTTTGTGGATTTTGTTTTTGTTCATTAATTGTTTGTTTAAATTCATCATAATCATTAATAATATGATTTAATTCATCATTTAATATTTGTTTATGTTCGTTTAAATGAACTAAACAAAATCTTTGTGAACATCCTTCACAAGGATATGTTATTTTTTCTTTGTTACATGTGAAACATTGTGTTTTGTTGTTTGCCATTGCCATGCCGTTGAATAGAAGTTTATAGAAGAAATGAATATACCCTTATCTACTTTTAAAGATATAAACTAAATGACTCAATGATAATAAAGACATTACTTGGTAGTAGAAGAAGTTGGGAAAGAATTTTTCTTATGATAAAACCTGACTAATGAAACTGATGTGATATCTAAGATAGTCGAATTAAAACTAAAAATTGATTTTCATTCTAATTTCAAATAAAAATCCAAACAATTTTTGTGATGTTTCTTCAAAGAAAGAATGTTTTAGTGTAGATTTGAATGTAAGCGACGGTTGGGCATAGACCTGCATCTACCACGTTACCTTCGAGATAAATATCTTGCCAATTCGAAGATGTATATAATTAGAAGACTTTTCTGCGAATTTATTAAATTATGGAGTGCAAACTAGAAGCACTTCGTATACGACTCTTGAGAGCCCCTGAAATATAGAATCAATTAAAATGTAGAATGTATCTATTATGGCTTCCTGTGAAGGTGTGTTAGGTGAGTGTGGGTGGCTTGAATGAAAATGCACACCCCACACCCACACCTACACCCTCTCGGTCTTCGATTGGACCTAGAGAAGTACCATAGACCGTTTGGTGACGTTAGTTATCATAAGACTATCTGGGTGAAATTTCACCCAGCCCCATTTATGACCTTCCTATGGTAAGTTTGGTGACGCTATCTATTACAAGGACAGAATGGATAAAGAACAGATAGACAGACAAACATTCTTCTTTATATATATATATAGATAGATAGAGATTACCTTGAAATTATCACCTTCTCATTTCACACGCATATTAATTATTTGAACGTGTGTTCATTCTTGTTAATTATTTGCTATCTCTAAAATCCATCGCTCACGTATAACAATCATAGTATTTAGCCATTTACAGTTTCTTTTATGGAAAAAAAAAAGATTTTTTTTTCTTGTTAACGATTTAATAAATATCATTTTACTCGCGTTTACTGTGACAATTGACACACGTTAACATAGAAACATTTAAGAATGAACGTATATTCAATTGAAAAAGGTACAATTGTTTTTCAAGTTTTGTTAATATTTTTATATCAATGGACAACTATCAACTGTCAACTGAATATGTATGCTAGTAAAGAAACAATAAAAATTGATTCTTTACAATATGATTGTTTAAATTATCATATTTATTATGAAAAACCAGCTTATCAAGAATTATTAGATGTAGTTGATGAAGTCATTCCATATTGTTTTCGTCCAAAAAACTATCATGAACGATTGGTTGAAAATTCTCTCGATCTATATTCTCAAAAATTAAGTTTCGAACAATTACGTTTATCCAATATCACTTCATTACAACTTTTATCCTGGTCCGTTTCGATTGATATCGCTGAACGTTATGAATTCTATTTAAGTATGTCAAATGCGTCGCTAAATGAGGATTTCTATAATTGTACCGAACCGTGGTTTGGTTCCCAGTGTCAATATTCATTTGGATTTAATGAACAGATATCTTTCAATCAGATTGTTGAAGCAATGTTTCGTGGAAGATTATCATACTTCGAATCATCCGATACGATAATCCAAGTACCCTGCTATGTACTTTTAAAATGTCATCGTAATGGACAACCTTGGTGTCTTGATTGGCGTGAAGTATGCAATGGAATTATTGATTGTTTCGATGAAGGCTCCGACGAAGAATATTGCTTTGATATGGAAATTAATAAATGCGAAGAAAATGAATATCGATGTCATAATGGATTGTGCATATCAGGTGCACTTTGGGAAGATGGTGCTGGTGATGCCGATTGTCTTGATCGGTCAGATGAAGTATTAGATCTCATATATAAAGATTTTTGCTTTCAAGATCCGACATTTCATTGTGAAGAACATTCTTGTAGACCGGATGGAGGTGCATTTGCTTGCGGTGATGGTCAATGCGTCGAAACATTTTATGCATGTGAGAACGGTCGTCATCTATTATTGATAAAGTCTATGACAAGCAAAGGTGATTTAAAAGATGAATGTTGGATCACTATGATCTGTCTTACTAAACTAGTCACAGACATTAATGGAAAGTCATGCGAAATATGGCTAATGAATAATTCACTTAATGCAATTCATGAAGAATGCAATTCATTTTTCCAATTTCCAACCGTACCAGTTTATTCTCCTCATATTCGTTTGTTCTATGAAAAGTTTCATTTGAATAGAAGTATAAATGAATTCTTTTTTCCTGATTACATTTGCTATGATCAACAATTATGCCATTATATGAAACCAAATTTAATTCGTGAAAATTTGACTTGTTTAAATGTATCTGAATTAAGATTAACAAGAAATTATACCGTGGGATCTTGGATTGAAATAATATTAACAATTGAACAACATTTTCGTCCATGTTTAATTCCTCATGTTACTTATGAAAGCAAAACAAAAAACTCTACAATTTATTCATCATTATATCAATGTCAAAATTCATTGAAAGTTATCTCTACAAGTCGTATCAGGGATAGACAAATAGACTGTTTTCAGTCAGACGATGAGACGTATGAACTTAGCTGTCAACTTAAAGATAAATATCGCGTCAGATGTCGTGAAACTAATACATGTTGGTCTCCTATTATGAAAGAAGAAGTTTGTTTATTGCATGGTGAAGACAGAGACGTTTCATTTGATCGTTTTTGTAATGGTGTCCCAGAATACTATTATCGTGACCATGATGATATAAAATATAATGACGAAGAAGGATGTGAAATATGGTTATGCAACAATATGTATTCACGTTGTGATGGTTATTGGGCATGTAAAGATGGACGAGATGAAAATAATTGTGGTCACGTTAAATGCCATTCAGGAACTCAAGCATGTGTAGATCGTATTAATTATACTGTATTTTGTTTACCTTCGGAACGTGTTAACAATGGCGATGTTGATTGCTTCGGAGCGTCAGATGAACAACAACAATGTCGAAGATCTTATCCTCCAACTGACGTATCACCACGCTTTCGCTGTTCAATTGATAATGCATGTTTATCATCATCTCAATTATGTGATGGTGAGGTAGATTGCCCAAAAAGTCGTGAAGATGAAGGAACATTTTGTAATATCTTTCAATTTAACTGTAACAATGATTTAATACGTAATCGAAATGAAGTTGAACAAGTTCTTTGCGATCTAAGTGAACAAGACAATCGTCGAATTCGATATTTTTCTGTTCAAACATTACCTACCTATCCTTCATTAGAACAAAATTTTAACAATGAAAGTTTTTATTGGCCAATAGATCAACCGTCATTTATAAATTTCCCTTCATTTATAATTAAGAACAGTTCATGGTATTGTAATCGTGGACTTATTATTTATCTTCGAAATGAAAATGATAGTTTTAATGATGCATGTATATGTCCACCTAGTTACTATGGTCATTTATGCCAATATCAAAATCAACGAGTTAGTTTAACATTACAATTGAGTTCAATCGATAGACATACTACTTATGCTATTGTTATTATGTTAATTAATGATATTGATCAACGACAAGATATTCATTCATATGATCAATTTGTCTATATAACAAAGCAAAGTTGTAGTATAAAATTAAATCGATATTTATTATTTCCAGAACGCCCAAAAAACATCTCTCATAATTATAGCCTACGTATCGATGCATTTGAAAAAACTCAAATAACATATGTTGGAAGTTGGTATTTTCCTATTCATTTTCTTTTCTTACCGGTCAACCGAATGGCTATTTCATTAATTCTATCAAATCAGACAGTGGATAATTCATCCAATTGTTTGATGACGTGCGTGAATGGCAGATGTATAAAATATTCAAATAAAAATAAATATTTTTGTCGATGTTATTCGAAATGGGCAGGTATTCATTGTAATATATCAATCAATCAACAAATATGTTCAATTGATTCATTTCATTTGGGAATTACATATAATCAATCAATATGTATTTGTCCATTAAATAAATTTGGTTCACGATGTTTATTTGCATCAACATGTCCAATCGCTGCTTGTAAAAATAATGGCAAATGTGTACCAGCTGATGTAACCGTATCTAATAGTCATTATACATGTATTTGTCCTGATCGGTATTTTGGTTTTCATTGTCAAGATTTAAAAGCAAGACTTAATGTTTCTTTAATTGGTATTGATATTCCAGCTTATGTCGTAGGTTATTTCTTCACACTATCAAATCAATCAAATCCAATTACTACAATTAAACTACAAAAACTAACACTCTTTCAACATAGTGTTACTTTTTATATTTCAATGGTATATCATATGGTCATTGTTCAAGTTAATAATAAATTTTATCTTGCTGTTATTCAACAATTACCACAAATAGATATTACAACATCAATTCGTTCGTCACAAGAATGTGTTCCTGTTGAACGATTATTAAATTCGACCATACTAAAAATGACTCAATATCGACGAATCGCATTTTTTCATAAACTTTGTCATATACGTCATGATCTAACTTGTTTTATTGATGAAGCTTATTTATGTTTATGTACAAATGAACATCATGCGAATTGTATTGAATTTAAACGTGATAGAAATTTTCAATGTACATTAAAAAAATATTGTGCAAATGAAGCAAAATGTGTACAAGATCATCCAACTTGTCCATCAACAAGAATATGTATATGTCCTGAATGTTTTTTCGGGAATGAATGTCAATTTTATGCAAAACCTCTTGGTTCGACATTAGACGAAATTTTAGGTTATGAATTTAGACGTAATATCATATTATCTAAACAACCTACTACAGTTAAAGTGAGTGCTATTATTACAATGATTATATTTCTTGTAGGACTCATTAACTGTATTTTGTCAATAATAATTTTTCAAAGAAAAAAATCACGACAAGTTGGTTGTGGAATTTATCTTTTCACTGCATCAATTACTTCATTAATAATTATGATATTATTTACATTGAAATTTTGTTTACTTTATCTCTCTTATCAATGGGTTTTAGAACAACGTGGTTTACA